ACGTGTGTAATGTATCAGAGAGGAGTCACTTGTTTGGTTGAGAGGAGTCTCTGCCTCTGCTCCAGCAGGAGGGAAATTAACAAGGAAATGGGAAAATATAGGAGACAACTGCTACTACTTAGCAGAAATCCACTTATAAAACGTGAATTTTACGTCCCTTATTGGCATCAAATTCTGTGATCAACGGCACTCATTTACTTCCCCTCAAATGAGACTATGTGCTTCTGTTAACTGTACATGTGACAAAGAACAAACCAGCACAGCCTTCAAAAACAGAAAAAACTGTCTGCTGACAGTCATCAACTTTTCTCTCTAGTTATCCTTGACCAGATGTACCCTGTAGAAACTCATAAGCATGCCTAAGCATTTAACAGTCTAACTAGACATCCTATCTCCACTAAACATTTTTAGTACATAAAGTATCTATCTAATTTCTATCTGACTAAAAATACCTAACATTAGACAGCAGATTTCTAAGGTTTTCAGGCCCAAGCACAATAACTTCAGTTTTATCAGAGTTTAGAAGTAAGACGTTGCAGGTCATCCAGGCCTTTATATCTTTAAGACATGCTTGGGTTTGACCAGCTGACCTGATTATATATATATATGTTAAGTCTTTTAATGGAGTTCATCGTTTTTGACAGCCAACAAACAACATGAAAATGGTTAAGGTTTTATATAATTGTAATAAATTAAAACTAAGTAATGCCTTTTTTTTTTTTTTTTTTTTTTAAAGTGTGTGTGTGTGAGCGGTTGCTAACATGCAGTGTATATACATCCTGTACAGTGTGTAATACAGATCCAGCTTTTGCATTTTACCTGTCATTACCAGTGACCTTGTCTCCAGGCTCAGCAGGAGTGCGTTGGGTTGGTGCTGTTGTACTGTAAGGAGTGAGGCTGCCTCAGGTGGTCTGTGTTGCCTGGAGACCATAGCATCCTGCAGTCTAGACCAGTAATAGTACGGTCACATCACCCTGACCTTACTGGCAGTGGAGTGGGAGAGTTGACATGTTAAGTGTTTAGGGCACTGGGTGTGTCTAGGTAGTAACTTCAGCTTCTGTACATGTATTTCTGTATTTCTTTCAGTAGTAGTCTTTTACTTCTGACGTCAGTGTGCGTCTGTGTTGGCTTATGATTTATGTGCACATGGCTTGTACTAAGACATTGTGGGGGGCATACCCATGTGGAGCAGCAGTGACAGAGAGATGGATTGTCCTGGGTGCTTATAGAAGCCCAGAGAGGCACCTTGACCCTTTTTCTTGCTTGAGCACTCACCAGTGACGAATGGCTTCATGCTGGGCAGATGGGACTGCAGAGTCCTTCTCACAGCAGTTAAGACGCCAGGGGCCAGCAGTCCCCTCCTCCTCCTCATCCTTGTTTAATATAGCTGAACTGTAGGACAGCACAGACCGGAGGAATGCCAGGTCTGTGTGGAATGTCACTTCCTCCCTGTTACTCACTAGTGATGAGCTCCCAGTTGCTCACTGCACAACTCTTCTGCCTTAGTCACCCTGAGGAATCCCACCACATGCTTTCCTTTGTCTTGCACACATGTATACTTGTATGTATTGGCTAATGTTGTCCTTTTAATTGTTAGAAATGGTAAAAAAAAAAGTTGTTTAATTCATTTCAAGTTCAGTCATTGCCATCTGATTATTTTCTTGACTGATATTTAATGGCTTTGTCTGTACAGTTACATTAAATTGTGAAAAATGCCCACCACAGTATTTCACAGAGGCCAAGATGGCATATTTAGACAGCTTGATTTGTTTGAACAACAGCCCAAAGTTTGACTTAGCCTCTCATCCAATGGCAGCTGGGATTGACTTCAGCCCCCCTGCGATCCTCTTCAGGAGAAGCGGTATAGATCATGGAAGGATGTACAATAAATAGGCAAAGCTGCCATAAAGAAGGGCCAGCTTAACACCATTTTAGCTGAATCTCTGTCTAAAAAAAGCAAATATATTTCTATCACTTAGTAGTCCCTGCCAGCTTCCTGTACCTGTCGCCATAGTCATTAGCTGAGCCTGTATGTATGTGAGAGTGTTATGGTAGCCCCCTCACCAGGAGGGTGAGGGAGGACTGAAGTCGGACTCAAGTTTGCAGACCCAGGTGCTAGGGGGAAAAACATGACGGTAGCAGGTAAAGAAAGTGAACACAAAGTATCAAAAGAACATAACATGGGAAGGTATGGTACTTGGATATGTATAATATGTAGTGTAGTGTAAATGGGCGTAGCTCGTAGGTAGTGTGGTAGAGTCAAGCCAAAACGCACAGTGTCTGTCAGCGTAGCATTCTACCAACATGTACAGTCCGCGTTACTATTTTAAGGTTCCAGCCAAAGCGGAGCGTCTTCCAGAGGTTTAAGTAAGGAGGAGAAGGTAATCATCGGGATGCACCCCAGCTGTGTGCAT